ACCAAGTGAAGGTAAAAGCTGGTGAGTAAGAGCGTGTAAAATGCCTAAAAAGTTTGTGCAACTGGGCATTGTAAGGCAGAATATAAAAATATAATAACGGGTCAAACATTGCTCACTGCTATAAGAGATAGGAATTCGTGGAGTGCCATGATCGCCAACGCCTTGAAGAAAGCTATTTTTCTTAGCTTTCTTGCCATTAAGCGTTTATGAAACATAGAATTATTGCTGCATTTAAATGAAAGTTTCGAAGACTTTATTAGTCTCTAGTGCAAATACGTTGAATAAGAAATCGTAAGAGAAAAGAACCGAACGAATATGGAATTAAAACGAAATAAAATGTCGGTGCATTTCGTTCAGTCTCGGTTTGTCAAACACCGACCATCGAAATATGAACCAAATTACAAGATCCACCCTCAATACGGAGTCACACTTCCTTGTTTCTTTATAGATTTCGTTTTGTTTGTGTTTTTTTCTCATTTTTTGGCATTAGGGTCAAGGAGGTTTCTTTCTTTAGCAGCGAGCAATGCGATATGCTAAATGTCTTTTTGGTTAAAACACATAAGGAACTTAGAAAACTGCCAAGCAAAAGTGAAGAGGCAAAAAAAAAATAAAAAAAATAAAATGAAAGAGCAAGGCGAGAATTGAATTTAAAAGGAAAGGAGAAAGAGGCAAAATTAAAAAGAAGAAAAAAAGAAAAATGAAAAGAAGAGCAGATAAGAAAAAAGTAGTTGAAAAACAAGATGAGGGAAGACTAAATGAAATGAAGCTGATAAAAAAGCGGCAAAAACAAGACGATAGAAAGCAAAAAAAAATGAAAAAAGACAGGAAGGAAAGATGAAAATGAAAGCGTAGTAAATAAATTTAACGCATTTACTAGTTAGAAAATTAAATAAAAATCATATAAAAGTTTAACACATTGGTAGATGCAACGTAGAGCATTTGTCAGCAAGCTAGTCTTGCAGGGCATGCAGTAAGAATATTCTTTCGCTCAGTATTCCACGCTTTGTGCTTTGGCTTATAGTAAGTTCAGCTTAGAGAAAATTACAAAGTCAGCAGCATCAAAGGCAATAACAGCAGAAAATAAGGAAAAAAAAAATATAAGAAAAATAATCACAAAAGAAAATAGATAAAACGTTAGATGGGGAAGAAAGTAATGAAAAAGAATATATTACAATAAAGATAGGAGAAAAGAGAGGATGACGAAAAAGACGAAGAACAATAAGAGAATGAAAACAAAGTGAGAAAGAAGAAAAAAAGTGGAAAGAAGAAGAGAAAAAGAAATAAAAAAGAAGGAAAAAGAGAGAACAGAAGCAAAAGGAAGAGAAAGAATGAATGGAAAAATCCGAACAAATAGTAAAAGAGAAAGAAAAGGAGAAAGAGAAAAAGAAAAAGAAAGAAGAAAATATTTTTAAAAAAATAGTGAAAAACAATTATTGTGTAGAAAACTGACCGGCTTTCTCTACACTTATTGTGGAATATGGACTCGTTCATCCGTTATGAACGTCTGCTTATGGGAATGGTCGTCGCAAAGTTTGTCACAATGCGTAGCGTTTTAGTCGTAAGCATTGCCGAACTGAACTACGGTATTCTCGGTTATTCTATTATTAATCTGTGTCTCTCTTGTAGTTAAACATGTCCTTCAGTCAACCTTTTGATCAGTGTTTCCTAACAACATTATTAATCAGAACTACAGGCGTTATATTAACTTTATAACAACAAGAAAAGAAAGAAGATGGGAAATAAAAACAGAAGTAAAAGGAGAAAAGAAGTAATAAGAAGAAATGCAAGAAAAAGAAGAGAATGGCGAAAAGCAAGAAAAAAAAGGAAACAACCATGAAATTACGACGAAAAAGAAGAAAAAGAAAATAGGAGACGAACAAGTAAATAAAAGAAGGAGACATGAAGAAAGAGATGGAAAAAAAGGAGAGTAATATCGATGTAAAAGAAGATAAAGGAGTAAAAAAGAGGAAAGGAGATAGAGAATAAAATAAAACGAAGAAGAAAGTGAATAATGAAAGAGAAAAAGGAAAATAAGAATTGAAAAGAAAGAACAAAATGTAGAGGGGGAAGGAATGTTAATCGGAAGAAAGAAGAGAAGAAATGGAAAACAAAACGAATAACAAACAGATTGGGGACTAAAATGGCGAAGGAAATAAAGGAAGATGATTCGGAGAAAAATACAGAAGTATAATGGAATTAGAAAAAAAAGTTAATCAGTAGCAAAACAAAGCAAAGATAACCAAATGTTAAGTTTGTTGAATAAGGTGACAGAGTGCAAAAAGTTCGAAAACAGAAAGACGACCATCTTCCAAACGATAAACACTAGCGGGTTTTCAATCTCTACACTTAACTGTAAATATACAGTGAAAAATATACATTGAAAAACGAACGTATTCACTGAAAGTCCTTTGCTTTCAAATTAGCCGATAACTAGGTTGGCATTTATTTCCTTCCCACGATTTAACATGGCGTAATGGTAAATTTGTATCAGTGTTTTCTATCAAGAGAAAACTAGTGTTCTTTCGCTATTTCTTTGTGCCATATCATTCCAGAACATAGGCAACCATGGTTCTCCACAGCTTCCTCTATTTCTCCGCTCAAAATAACATTTTTTTACTTGCATTTTTTATGTATCCATTTAACAAAACGTAAATAGATATATAACTGTTATCTCTTGCTTGTCAATCATTCTATATCAACAACCGATGCTTCCTGTTGGTGTTAAATTCTCCAACATTCTTTCCTCATTATATATTCTAAAAATTTCCGTGGTCTCTTTAAAAGAACCGCAATATCTTCGCAATTCAGAATTTTAAAATTTCCTAGTTACTCGCATAATCTCTACTTGCTTTTCTCAGCATTTGTCATTAGATCCACGTATTTATTGCTTCAAGTCTTACCCTTCGAGTATGTGGCCTTTGTCTAGAAACACATTTACATGTAGGGGATTCGATATTACATAGTAGCCCAAAAATCTTCCAATTACTTAAAGGACATTTTATAATCATTTTATACCTTACACATTTTGTAAAAAAAAACAAAAAAAAAAAAACATTTTTCGGTTCTTCTATGGACCCTCAGATTTCCGCAGTAAATATTCTGTTTGTTACTGTAATGAAAACAGGACAAGAGATTCTGTCTAGTAATCGTTTATTCAATTAAGAATGCTACTACTAGTCAACCTGACAAGCAGAAATGTATAGCTTTTATAGTTGGATTATCAAGGGGGAGATAATCCATATTCACAACAGTTACTATAGCACACAGATAGGTACTGCGTTTTGCTGCTTATAAGACACATTTTCTCTTATAAAATATTTCTAAAAACCACCCGTCCAGGTGTCCAAAATGATTTTCTAATTGTAGGTTAGACGTGACCCAAGTACGAAAGTATGGTGCATCCAGTGACAATCGAACTCACTATTCAATTGTAATTGACCTAGCATGACAAGCTTTCTAGCCATTATACAATGTCGAAGTGCAAAAATGATTTTCTAAGCGTAGCTTTGATGTGGCACAGTGAGGATCGAGGATCGAACTCACGACACCGAAGTGTCCTGGGAATTATATTTTATGAGTAGGACTAGAGCGGATCGATTTTTCACTTTCGTCAGAAAAGCAACATTGCACGCAATGTGCAAAATGGAGTTTAATGTTATAAGTACTGTCACCAAATATTAGATTCCTAGCTTTTAGCATTTTTGGAGCATTTAATTTTATAAATCATCTGAAAAAAAAAATGAACTGAAATACTTAATTTTTGTAGGTTTTTGCTTACAAATGGACTTCAAAATTTTACTATTTCAAGAAAAATCCAAATAAAGTCGATATCTTTTATATGACATTGAATGGAAAATATATTAAAACCTGAATTCTGTTTATGAATCCATACAAGAAAATGTGCAGTGTTTTACTGCATTCGATAAATAAAAACTCTGTAAAAAGTTGTGAAAGTTTACGAAACAGGCTATTCAATGAATAATATTTGTAAGTTAATTTGTTAGATCATAATTACTAAAAATTAAAAAAAAACAGATAAAAGTTTATATAAATAGACGCAAATTATAAGAGAAAATATTTTAAATTTGAATTGTTTATTGGAAATGGCACTAAAACTATTGCACCCTATAATATATTACATCATAATTCTAGCGAAATTGTTCAATATAATTTCCCTTTGAAGCAACTTATGGTCCTAATCGATGACACGATGATTTAGTAATAATGTTCTTGTGCCATGCATCTTGTAAAACTTGGGAAAGTTGTAAATTTAATAATACTGTGCTATGAGACTTTCATTGATAAACGGAATGAAATTCCAACGTTACGATTTTGAATCTAAACTTAATCTTTAAACTAATTTCCCCAGAAAACAGTACTGATTTGAAAGAAAAAAAAACTATTTTGGATCCTTATTTATCATGTGAAACCACAATTTTTCAAAATGAGTGAAATACTACCCTTCCAAAATCGTTCTGCCCTTATGTAGGATAGATAACATTTGACCTTGAACTTGAGGTTGTTAAGATTGTAGGGGTCAGAAGAGCATCTTATTTTTGGGAGTTTGTTCCCCAAAGTAAAAAAATATCTGGGGAAGAAGCTTTCTGAGTGGAAATTACTCCCTACCAAATATACACGAAAGGAATGGGGATGATTTAAATCCTGCGATAACCATTTTTCAGCAAAGAAATACGATAAGTTTTCAAAAATAAAAATTATTTGTTGATTAAATTGTATTTTTAAATTTATATATACAATTAAATTTTGTTATATAGATTTGGTGTAAAAGCATTGCATTTTATCACTAAATGATTTATTATAGTGATTTTTCAAGCGTAGCTTGAATGTGGTACAAAGCCGAAAAATAGGGGGCAACCAGAGAGAATCGAACACATTTCTCGGTCGTAATTATTCTAGCTAGCACAAGCTCCCTAACCATTACACCACCTCGAGGTACCCTGCTGAAAATGTTATATTACTATATTCGAAGCGATATCGGCTTACGGTCACATCACGTTGAAACACTGGTTGTTGTACGATCACCGATGTCAAGCAACGTAGAGCCTGGTCAGTACCTAGATGGGTGACCGTTTGGGAATATCAGATGCTGTAAACTTGGATGTGACAGTGGTATAGCTTATGACCATATCACGTTGAAACACCGGTTGTCGTACGATCACCGATGTTAAGCAACGTAGAGATGGGTGACCGCTTGAGAATACATGTGCTGTAAGCTTGGATATGTATATAGTGAAGTGGCCTACAGAGAGACGAATTCCTATTCGAGTCGTGTTTGTCATATTTACCTGTGCAAAAAAAGGAAAAAAGTATGAATCCACATCTTCTACCTCCTACTATGGGTTAATTAGTAGTAATTCTATCAGTAAATCATAATTATCTACCAAAAATTCGTACATTCTAAAAAATATTTTCTGGTTTTAAAATAACCTGCAAATTGTAGATAAGCCGTAAAAGCAAATCAGAGTGATATCATTTAATTTAACCTTCCAAACTGAAGAGTTCTTTTAAAAGAATTGACTAAAGGGCGAATTTTGAGGAAATTATCTCGTATTTTCAGATACACATCTTAGCAAGCAATTCTCTCTTTTGTAAACTGCAAACTTAAAATGCGAATATTATTGACAAACTGAATAGACAGATGCTTTCATACGATTTAATGCTGAAAAACTACTCACTAATCCATAAATTCCTACTGATTTAACAAATTCTGAGCAAGACGTCCCTCAGAATACAATTTCTTAGGATGTTTGCTTCGTTTCACAAGGAAACGCCAAATGTCAGTCCGACATTCCTGGCGAGAACAGCGTGTGTCATGGTCTCATTTCCGGTACCAAAGAAACGGAAGTACTTTATCAATGAACGCTATATTATGAATATTTACTCACATGATAAAAATATATATATAAAAAAAAGTGTTCCCAAGCAAACAGCACTGACGTAAAAAAAAAAAAAAAAAAATTCTTTCACCATCACATTGTTTTCAAAAAAATATTCCTGCGGCACAAGTGGCTAGTTTATTGCCCACTGTGCTTAGTACATATACCCTTGCCGGGAAAAGATAGGATTTGACTGACGAAAACATTTTTATACTTACGCACACGCACGCATTATAATTTTAATACTAGCCGTCTCCACATTAAGAAACATTCGGTAGTTCATTGACCGGGCAGCCACTGCTATTGTCTTATTTGAAATTTATAAAATCTTTCTATCGAAAGAACTTTTCAGAAAAATACGTTTCTGAATTTCAATAACTGTTATCGCTTTTTTCAGCGCTGTCGGAAGTTTCCTTCCAAACGTTTTGTTTCAAGTTATGTGGAACTTCCAAATAAAGATTATGCGATTATTTTCTCTTTGAGGTACATGTTATATACATTTAAGTTGTTTTTACAGCTGAAAGTACTTAATTTTCCTTTTTTAAGTGTTTCACCCCAAGCAAGGCGAGAAGCCACTAGGACGCAAGGGGTTACAGAAGATTTGGAGCAAGATCAGATAGGAGTGATAGAAGAAAGGATGAGGAGAAGTATAGTGGATAGATCAAGGCAAGTGGAGATGTCAATTGACATTACATTTGAATAGTTGGAGATTATAACTCTCAGGGAAATTTAAATAGGGAAGGGAGTTCCACAGGCGAGAGATGCGAAACATGAAGCTATTGGAGTGGAAAAGACGGCTACATTTAGAAGTTTCGGCAGTGAAAGGGGGAGAGCAGGATGCCAGCCTCGTCGGGCGCTTGAACTCATGAAGTCTGGGAACCAGCGAATGCAGCTCCTCGGAGCAATTGCCATGAAAGTATTTGTAAAACAGACAGAGAGATGCGACGGCGCATCTGTGAGAAAGTGACTGTAGACGAGATGCCAGAACAGGGCCAATCATATTGCATATCCGCCTCTGGAGCCTATCAAGAAGCCCGAGGCAAACAGAAGGGGCTCCAGACCATATATGGCAGCAATACACCATGCAAGGGCGAATTGTTGATTTGTAGATCTGAAGGATCGACTCCAGGGAGAAAAATTGATGAGATTCTGTTCTTTCGTACGATGTTTTTTTGATTCTGTTGTTCCACTCTACGACTTTCGAAGAAAGATGGTCCCTACTTCTGAGATTATGATTATTTACACAATTTACATTCTTCGGACTGTTGTCTCATCGTTCTTGCCCTATTCACGACCTTTCGACTCTGGCCTTCGTCAGGTGTTTGATTCCTCATGGGGCACGTGACTTGGCCCAAAGTATTGTGAGCTCAATACCTGGCTACAGAAGTTGTGAACAAAAACTTGAAGAGTTGAGTTAAAGGGAGATAACCGATACATCCGGTAGAGACATGGCGTGTGGAACTAGAACAATCTACCCCAGTGTGCGAAATAAATGGTTCATTTCGAAGGTCTAATCACCTGATCAACGGCTAAAATAGCTTTGAACAAATGAAGCCTGTAGAACTTAATGGAAACTATTTTTATTTACACTATTTACAGACTGTTCCGATTGCTGTCCTCATCTTTTTTGTCATATTGACGACGTTTCGGTCGTTGTACGCTCCGGCCTTCCTCAGGTGATTAGTTTTGTTTGTTTTGTTTTGTTTTACGGCATATCATCCTCAATTGGTTATTTAATGCCGATTAAATTTTATTGCTGGTAATATTTTTTTTTTCAAATGTATTGCTGGTAAAATTAATTTCCTTCAAAAATCTATTTCTGGTAATATTTTGTCTTCAAAAATGTATCGTTTTCATTTTTTTTTTCAAAAATGTATTTCTGGTATTAAAACCTATTTTTACACTTTCATAGTGTTTTGATAGTGTTTTGATCCAGTTTCGGGGTTAATTATTTGCCCATAGCTGGGACCCTAAGAAATGCTACCACACCGGGTCAGGGTGGACCTGGGAATTCAGGTGATTAGAATTTCCAAATGAACCACTTATTCCGGATGTCTCGGTTATCTCCCTTTAATTCAACTCTTTTGTATTTGTATTTGTAGCCAGGTATTGAACATACGACACTTTGGGTCAAGCCACTGGATCCAAACAACGTCGTATACAGCCGAGAGTTGAGATATTTCTGAAAGGGTTTTGGGCATTCATGACATCCATATTAATATTTCTATATGACGAGGCTATTTAAGAACATGTTATTTTCAGGTTAATGTTTTTGTTTGTGGTGTTTGACGAAACTAAATATAGCTCAGTATGTTCTATATTTAATTTCATTCATCCTATAATAAATTTTTTAGAACTGATCGTTACCTTGAAATATTTCTTTTTAGTCTTTCAACTTTTATTTTTTTATTAGGGGACAGGTGAAATGGTCCTTGAAGTGGGGTTAAACATTTTCTACTTTTCGCTACTCTCTTAGAGCCGTTCCCAATATTAAATGTGATGGCTTGCGGAAGAGGTTTTCTTGCCTTCTGAATTGTTTTGGGGGACTGTAAATTATGGTGTTATTTGATGAGTTTTCATTCTCAAAGTTGGCGACAGTTTTATTAAATAAATTATTTTTTGGTGTCTTTCTATATTTCTGAGATGAAGTATTATGTAAATTATTTACATTATTCGGACTACTGTCCTCATCTTTGTCGCTATATTTATCACAACGTTTCGGCTGTTGTACGCTCCGGCCTTCTTCAGATAGTTGGAATGTCGAACTGAACCCTTTATTTGGCTCACTGGGGTAGACTGTTCTAGTTATTTTTATTTTTATCTTATTTTTTATTTGTTCGTTTCTAATTTTGAGCTGCGTATATATCTTTGAATGCTGATATTTATTCAGAAATATTTTTGATTTTCATTAGGTTATAACTTATTCTTAATTACGTGGCGCATCTAATATGCATATATATTTCCCTATAATCCGTTTCACCCGAAATCAATGCTAATGAAACGCATGGTGTTATAGATAGAGAAAGAGAATAGGAAGACTTTAGTGGAGAGGAGTGAGGAAAGGAGTAAGAAAAAAAAAAAGGAACATAGTTCAAGAAGACAGAAGATGACGATTGACGTTGCATTTGTAATTTTGAATATTGTAGTTATCACGAGAGCAAGGAAACGGAAGAGAGTTCCTCTGGTGGGAATTGCGAGGAAAAAAACTGTTAGAATTGAAATGATGGTTGCATTTCTAGTTCAAGAGTAAAACAATGACACCTAGTTGTCAATCTATTAGTACGTTTATATTCATATAATCGAGACTTCAGGGGAAAAAACTCATGAAAACAGTTGCCATGGAAATATTTGAAGAAAAGACACAGAGAAGTCGTGTGACATCGGTGAGCAAGTGACTGAAGTTGAGATATCTGGTCAGGATCGACTATATTACCCCCGGGGTGCACCCCCCCGAGTGCCTCGTCTTAGGTCCTACTCTCTTTTTAATTCTCATTAATGAACTTCCTGATGACATCAGCTCTCAACTTGGTATCGACGCTGACGACATTTCAATTTACCCCTGCCTTGATAGTAAGGCTTATCAGAGTGACAAGATGAAAATGGCAGCCGATATCCAAAGTCAATAGTTAACCGAGGCAAAAGATGGTTTGTTAATTTTAATGCCTCCAGAATTAAATTCCTCTCCATTAATCGTCTGAGAGACCACTTGTTGTCTTTCATCAGCATGGCTGATGTTATCCTTCAGGAAAGTGACCCGTTGCAACTTCACGGACTCACGTTCTCTGCTGAAATGAAGTGAAAATACTATATTTAATCCATTGCTAGTTCAGCTACTAAGAAAGTCGCTTCCCTATGTCGGGCGAGACAATTCTTCTCTCTAGAATCTATCTTGCATATCTATATGTCTACCATTCGTCCATGCTTAGAATATTGCTGTCAAAACTGGTATGGTGCCTTTAATATTCCCCTTGAGCTCATTGATAACATCCAAACAAGTATCTGCAATTTTTTCGGTCCTGATCTGGCGTCTCATCTCCAGTCACATTCCCACCTCCATAAGGTTGCTTCTCTTTATATTTTCTATACTTTCATGGTAACTGTTCGAATAAGACCTTCGCAATGGTAGCTAAACTTTAAGCACAGTACTAGTCTGGCGTCGAGTTCTATTGAATTTACAGTAGTGCTCTGCTAGATGTAGCCGTAAGTTCTATGCTAA